AAGACACATGATAGGGTAGGAGCTGGACACAATGACAGCACAAAAACAAACCCTGAGCATGGATTATAATAAAAATCACTGCATCTCGGGTCTGCGGGTCTCCTCCTCTCACCCTCATAAAGGATGGTCCTGCCCTTACTGAAAAGAATTGTAATAAAACAAAAAGCATCCCTGTGCTCTTTCTGGAAGAAAAGTCCAACACTGAAGACTTCTCTTCTGACAACCAAGCATCTCATTCTAAGAGCAGAGGCCGGTGAGCTGAACTCTTCCCCTGCAAACATCCTGTGTCCTCACCTTAGGGCCTGCACTGCACAGCGCTGTGTTTGCTCCAGCTTCTGGGCCTGTCAGCGGGCAGCACAGCTCCACAGCTAAGAAAAATGACTCTGGGCCCATACTGCCTGGGTTCAAGTCTCAGCTTGGCTGAGCGCAGTAGCTGTGGCAACCTCAAGTCAAACTTTAGTGGGGGGAGGGGGGGGTTCGGGGGCATAAAAATTAACCAAGTGGAAAAGCAAGAAAAAAGCAATTCCTAGGCAGAATCATGAAACTCTAGTGCTGTCCCTTTCATGGTACCCAACAGAAAATAACTCAGTTTCCAGAAGTGAGGAATTGGCCCAGTGCCCTGGGGGTTTCTGGGTAGTGGCACATGCATGCTTCTATGTCGCCACTGATCCAATCTGCAGTCAACTTTATCAATACAGATGCCATTTGGAGCATCAAATCCTGGCTCGCCTGTGCCTCAGATCTCTGATCAAAGCAACAGAAAAGCAGAAGGCAAGAGGGTTGGCCTACACTGCACACAGTTCTAACACCACTAGGCCTTGAGACAGCTACTGCTTCCCCCTCCCCTGCACACACTGCCACCTGGCTGGCCTTGCCCTTCACCAGCCTCAGGCAGGTGCAAAGCTTCATCCAACGCAGAGGTGTCTATGCCTGCTGCCAGCCTGTGGGGCCCCAATCCAACCAGAGGTGGTCCGGTTCCACCACCTTAGTGCCCAGCTTGGAGGCTAAAGCACAGTGGCCTCTGCCCAGAGGTCAGGGCCTTGGCAGTGATCCCTCATACAGCCCCTGCCCTCCTTTCATCCCTCCTAACTGGGGCACGACTAGGAGAGTGAAGGAGGAGTCACACAAGGTGTTTCCAGAGTGGCATTCCGAGACTGCCCATGTGTGCCCAGAGCTGTCTGTAAGACAGTGGTCCAGATGAGTTTCAGAGTCCAAGAGAAACTTTATGGAAATACATGCATTTCTCAGGGGATTGCAAAGGTTAAGAAGCAAGGCTTAACAGGAAGCCCTGTCTACCTACAGTAAGTTACTGAGGTGCTTGTGGTTTAGATCCTTCCCACCATGGATATGTGAGTGTTTCTGGGTGAAGGTCTATATACCGGAGGTTCCAATTACACTATCCTCGCACTGAATACGCGGTGTCAGGATGTTCTCGTGCAAGGTAGGAAGATAAGGTTTGTAAGAAAGGGGACAGGATTTTACCCCCAGGGCCAAGCCGTCTGGCACATGGAAGATGTTCAAAAGGAATCTTGTAAAATGATAAACTGTTATAAAAAACCAGCTTTTGGAACACTTTGGGCTGAAATTACCTGCAAGTTCCTGAACTGGCTTTGAGGAGCAGAAATCAGCTGCATCTCATGCTTTCCAAGGTACTCGTTCTAAGTTAATACTAGTAACAGACACAGACTGGACACCAGGTGCCAGGTCTGTGCAGAGCCTCCACACACACCTATCAATCCTGTGAGCTGGGCCCTGTCATTACACTTTTTATAGATGATGAAACTGAGACTTTGGGAGGTTAAGTAATTTGCCCAATGGCAACAGCCAGTAAGTCACCTGCAAAAATAATATGGAAAGCTACACAACGTGGAAATACTCCACAGTCTTTTATGTTCAGCTCCCAATTATTAATTCAGTAGGAAATGAATGTTTAGTTACAAAATTAAATATGTTTTTCTTTGAAAGGAACTCATTTTTGGAATCAAAGAAATGCATAAAACTTTATTTGCAGAGTCATTGCAACCTCCTTCAAATTAACTACAATTCTGAGGGTAAAAGACATAAGCAATAATATCAACTGATTGTAAAAGATTTTAATCTAATGACATAAAACTGAAACTTAAAGAAAACAAGAATTCTAAACAAAAGATATGCAAGGCTCTGGCCACCCCGGCGCTGCCTCTGTGTCCCTTTGGCTGGTCCCGCGGAGGATTCCAGCCGGCCGGGCTCCGTCTGCCTTTCCCGAAGCCTCCTGCTAGAGCCCACCTGTCCCTCTGGACTCGAGGTTTCCCAGTTGCCCTTGGGCAGGGCCAGCCCAGGAAAATACAAATCCCCTGGCGAGGGACAACCTTACTCACCTCTGCCTTCACCCTGGTGTCTAATCCTGCCTATTGAATTTATTGATATTCAACAAACACTGGGAGGACATTTCCCTCTTACCCAGAACAAAGAGGAATGCCAGCTTTTTCACAGAGAATCAACACACTTAGTGCGACCCCAGCAAGAATACCACTGGCCCTGGTCTGCCTCAGAGGGACCTCGGAACAAGGCCTGGGCCTCACTCAGCTAACCAAGTGAAACATGAGGATCCTGGTAGTCTGTTTCCACATGAAAAGATACCTTTCCTACCAGCAAACCAACAAAGTTCTAAGCAACATTCATTTTTACAGGTCCATCTTCTAGCACGTTCCCTCCATAGTGTGGCAATCTGTTTCCTCCCTTGTTTAATAATCTGTCCAGTGGCAGAATCAGGAGAAGTGACTAACGTCAAAGAGAAGTCGGGATCCTCTAATCTGAAACCCCAAAGCTTCACCCTTCTACACTTGCTGAGATTCGTGCTGCAGCCAGACTCTCCCTACTGCAGGGGAAGCAGACCGAGTGGGTGCCAGCCTCGACCAACTAGCAGAGGCCAGAAACAAGCAGGACGGCAACTTCCATCCTCTTACAGGAGAGTTTCTCGGTCCTTTTCTCCACAGAAAACAATGTTTAAAACTGTGCCCTGAAAAAAAGTGCCCCAAATGGCATTTACCAATCAGGCTGCTTCCTTCCCAAGCCTCTTCTGTGTATTGGGATTAGGAGATAAAATGCAGTTTAAGGTGAGGTTTTTTTCAAGTAACTGGCATGGGACACAACACAAACCATGTGAGCTGGTACCCAGTTCCTGCAAAACAAGGCCCATTTAGACATCAATGGAGGAACCGGGCCCAGTTCAGTACAAGCAACATTTATCAACCGAGTGCAACACTAGGTGGCCGGGTGAAACACGCCCCACCTCGCCGGAACAGGCCCTTGGCAGCTAACAGGAATCTGGGGTCCAGAGGAACACCCAAGAATCCAATTCTCTGCTTCCTCACTGTACTTGTCATATGACAGATTAGGTTTACTTAAGGTTGTCTAACCTTTTTTCTATGGTCACTGCTGGACATATGGTTCCCAAGGGAGGGCAGTAAGGAGAGAGGACAGATGACAGTTGCTTACTGCCAAGAGTGTTGAGAGTGGCTTGAGAGACAGTCATGGCAGAGGTTGGTGGGGGAAACAAAGTCAAGAATGAGAGCTTGGGAAACCCTACTGCAAGAATCTCTAGGAAGACCTACCCTGAAGTAGCCCAAGAGAAAGAGGCAACAGAAGGATCCTATCCTTAGTTCCTTTCTTTGCTCCTATCTTTACTCCGGACAAGATGGAACATGGAGAATAGAGGCTCCCCCGAAACTGCAGAGGGCAGCAACCCCCATGAATTACTCTGATCTGCATTTTTGGTCTGTCAAAATATGGCAGATCCACACAGGGCAGGTGGGATGGAGAGGGTAAATCGTGGGTCTCAAATTAAAAGCCTTTAGGTAGCCAAAACCGGTTTGGCTCAATAGAGCGTCGGCTTGGGGACTGAAAGGTCCCAGGTTCGATTCCGGTCAAGGGCATGTACCTTGGTTGCGGGCATATCCCCAGTAGGGGGTGTGCAAGAGGCAGCTGATCGATGACTCTCTCTCATCGATGTTCCTAACTCTCTATCCCTCTCTTTTCCTCTCTGTACAAAATCAATAAAATATATTAAAAAAATAAAATAAAAAAGCCTTTAGGTAGGTCGACCCCTAGAGCCCTTTCTCTTTCCCCAGAGCTATTATGTTTTCTCCCAACATATTTATTCTGAAAACAGAGGGTTAATTATTTGTTTCCCCAAATGATTCACAATAGCACTCACTTAAATAGCAATCTCCTTGGAACGCTTAAAACAAGACCACTTTTAAAAATTCAATTCACTCACCATTTTACAGGATTTCTGTACATTGTAAATGAGATATATTGTGAAGGTTAAAGGCACCCTCCCAGAAAGCAGCTATTCTTCCAGGCCTGTCCCTGTGACCCCCAAGGAAGAATCTGGAGGCCCGGGAGATGGGGCCAAACTGCTGATCTAACTACTCCAAACACTGTCCTCCGAACACGAACTTACACACACACACACATACACACACACACACACACACAAAGGAGCACATAAAGAGCACATTTCCAGTGCCCTTTAAAGCATATTTCAGGAAACAGAGGCATTTAAAAGGCCTTACCAGACTAAATGTCTGATTTACAAGAAGTATTGGCATATGCATCCTGAGATGTGGGCAGTCCTCAGCTACCCTGCCTGCCCTCCATCATCTACAGCCTCACACTCAGTGATTCTCCATAGACTTGAGGGTAGTGTGGGCATGGAGGGCAGGGACCAGAGGCGGGGGTGGGCTCAAGGGTCTGACCTGGCCACGTATTCTTGAAGACCCAGACGGCAGTGTCTGCCTCTGCAATTAGCTCATCATGCTTTAAATTTGCTCAGACAACCTGTCAATGCCCGCGTTCTTTAGCCCTCATGGAAGCAAGCAGTCTGCTGGTACAGGGCTGAGGGCAATCAAAAGAAGGCAGACTGTCTGACAGAAATTAAATGCTTACAACACATCTTCTGATTATGTAACAGGATAGTGAGACCCCTGCAAAGAGACCTGGCCGGAATGCTGCCTCACCTCTGGAGTGTTCTTCTTGAACTCTCGGCTCTGCTCAATGAGCCGCTTTCTAGACTGCTCGCTTTCATCTTGCCGGTTTGCCAATACTGTTGCGGTGGCATCGAGTTCCCTCTGTCAAGAGAGACAAAAAAAAAGGGGAAAGACAAGATTGTAATTGCAGTTTGTACCAGAGGGGATCATATTTGCATTTGACCAGAACACTGGGGACAGCCCTTGGTGCTCCATGGACTGTCACCTCCTCAACAGAGTGACGCTGGGGGCTGTGGACAGGGAAAGAGACGGTAAAGAGACCCGATCACATGGTTCCCATCCAGCCTCATGCGCTAGTTTGCGAAAACCAAACTCTCTCGGCTTTGATGTGTGTATTGACACCATCTCACAAATTACTGTTTCTGTACTAGTACAAACAGATACTTTTTTTGTCTTTTTGCTAAAACCAGGCCAATTCCAAAGGGCATCCCTCCCTGGAGTCACTCGCTTCTTCTGTTCTTAACAAGTGTTTCTTCTTGTCATGTCTCTGTGCTCCGTCCTTTGGACTCGTTTTGCACTTCTCATTAGGGCATTCAGTTTGGCTATCCTTCAACAGTGTGGATCCGAATCTTTTGTAATGATGCTTCATTGCTTTAATTCAACAAATATTTATTGTGGGGCTTACTACAGGTTAGCCATCATTTAACCTGTTACTTGTTTTCAAAAGGTAAATTCCAAGACTAATGATTTCTGATATCTTATAAACATTCAGAAATGAGGCTTATTTCACTGGTTCTGGAACTCTGAGAAGCACCAGGTATGGGTTCCCTGTAAGAGGACCTGTCAAAGGCTAAGGGCTATGGGCTCTGCTCCACGCAACAAACTGATACTCAAAGCATCAGAGAGGCTGTGCCCTGACCTCAGGAATTCTGGGAGCAGCCACCAAAAGGATCAGTTTCAAACAAGCTTACAGCAGATGGGCCCAGACAGCAGAAGCTCAAGGACACGTTCCCATAGCCTCTGAGAGGCCCATTTTAAAGACACACACTAGCACATTCTGCTTAGGGTTACAGTGGCTGTCCCAAGTGGCTTCTTAATGGTCTGGACTATTCCCCTCAGGAGCAGGTACAACAGAGCAAGGACCCCATCAAAGGCTGAAAGGCAAGTAAAATAAAAATGAAAATCCATCCAGAGCCATCCAGGAAGCAGGTGAGAGTTTCTCCACCTACCTTCCACCCACCTCATGAAGTTCCACCTGCTTTCCTATTTGGTGGGAATACTGAAGTAGTCTGTAAGCCCTGCTGGTGAACACTTCACTCGTACCACTACGGGTGGGCCACTGCCAGACGAGATGACAGAGTGCTGGAACAAACATCCAGTGTGCTGTCGACTTGGAAACTGGACAGTTTAAAGGGGAGGCGGGGACTGGAGGGGGAGAGAATACCACACCACACTCTTCCCTTTAGTGATTCTGGCATTACAGCAAATCTTGGGCAAACAAGTCCAAAAGAATAACGTGGGCTAGAATTCAAGAACAGATGTCAAAGCTACTGCAGCAAAGAGGGAAACACTGCACATTTTGATAGACCACATTTGAAACACATCCCAGTCAAGTGAAGGCAGAAAAAAAGAGCAACCGAAAGCAATGTGGTAACGCAGGGATGGAGATAGAAAAGAGAGAGCAATCGCAGATAAGCAGAAGGCTCTTCAAAAATATAAACAATCTGGTAAGGAGGAGGACTTAGACATCTATATTTAAGCAGCAGCAGCAGAAGTTATAAAGGGAGACTTCAAGAAGGGGGAAAGAAGCCAATATTGAAATATGACAAAAAAAGTAAAGTTGATGTTTCGTTCCAGTCACACACAGATGCAGAAAACTTACAGAAAAACAGAGAGCCCTTGACTGCTTTCAACGAGGACCCTAATTCCAGAGCTGAGGGGGGGGGAGAGGGCACAAAATCAGCAGTGTTTGGTGACTTTTGTGGCCCAAAGCTGGGTGCTGCAGGCTCACTAGAGGGAAGAGCTTGGAGACCGTGGGATTGGGGGTGGGTGCTTTGGAAGAGCACACTATCTATGAGACCCTCTTATCCCCGAGGCTCCCCGCCAGCCTTCTAAGCAGATCCATTACAGAGACAGACAGAAAGGCTGCGCTTGGGACAGGTCACTTGATGAAAGGCAAAACCACCTTTACCACAGGGCTGAGGGCCGGCGAGCCTGAGGAGACCTGCTGTTGGCAGTTGGGAGACCCCGGGGGGCCTGCCACACTCCCTTCCCCACCCGTGCAGACATATGCAGGTCCACGTGAGAAACCAAAGGGGGGTCTCCTGATACAATATCGTGCTGCCACCCACCACCAGGAAAACAGATTGGCACAGCGAGGAGAAAAGACTGAACGTTCAGAGATTGCGGGGTGGTGGTGGTGGGGCGAACGGCTGTCACCTCCCCAAGTATGGTTGGTCAGATTTCAGCCTCGCAATCTTTACGATCTTTGATTGAATAAAATAAAACCACTGAACCTTTCTAAAGGACACCAAGGCTGTCCCAGGCTGCGGGGACAACACAAAGGGAGGAGAAAGTTACTAAACATAAGCCAAATACTGTTTTATTATCTACCCAGCCTGCCTACACTCCAAGTGTCAAATGTAATGACACATTAACAAGGGAATTTAATGTGTTGGGGGGGGGGCAAAATACAGAACCCTTAGCCCCTGAGTCACTGGTCACAAGTGAGATCGAATGTAGAGTCCTCACAGCATTAAAAACTTGCGAGGAGAAAAATCCAAAAAACGGAAAACCAACCTAAATACCCAACAATAGCAGACTGGCATATCTACTCAGGGTTATTCTGCAATGGTTAAACAAGAAAAAAAATACAGTCCTACATGCACTATACAAGATGGAGTGATCTTTAAGATATATTTAAGTGAAAAGAGCAATGTGCAAAACTAATGCTAACACTATTTAAGAGAGTTTCTATACATATGCCTACCTAAGTTTCAACTATCTCTAGAAAGGTTCAGGAGACAACTGTAATTGTCCTTGGCTTTGAGGAGCCACCAGGAGGAGGGACTTGCTATTCAATATATGTCTTTTGGCTATTTTGCCATGTGCATGGATTACCTAATAGGAAAAACTGCAGTGTATCTTAATCTTTTAAAGTACTACTAATGTGAAAATATACACATATGATAATAGAAACATATTTTACATAATGCACCCCATATATGAGTTCATGGTCTGCGGGTCCACCTGCCTAGGGTTGGCAATGGCCTCCTGACTCACTCTGGTGATGCAGAAAGTAAGGCAAGCACATCCTCTGTCAAAACAACAGCTGTTTCTTGCCCAACGCACTGCACACTGGCCAGTCCCAGGGCTTATGAATGAGGAGGAGGTGGCCAGACTTCCCAGAGGAAGGACAGACAAGGTTGTCCCCTCAGAACTATTTCGAACTCTCCTCCTGCTGGAAACACTGACAGCCCCAGACCTGAGGCGATGAGGAGCTGGCAGGGCTGGGAACAAACCCACCGGCTCTGAACACAGAGGCCCTTCCAACTAGGCTGAAAGAGCTGGAGGAAGTCCTGGGAAAGTGTCTTGCAAGGATGGCACCTGGAGAAGCTGTGGGATTTTCTTTCTAAGTGACCAAGAGATGGCTAATGTCAGGCGGCGACAAAGTCCAGGGAAAGACCTTTGGCTGCGGGACCAAGGGTTCAGTGCATCTGACTCTCTGAAACGAGGGTACTGCTGAAGAGCTGTGGATGGCTGCAATCATTTTTTCCTCTGGATTATAACTTCTGGCACGCTTTTTCTCCATTTCTGACTGATCCTAAAAGGACCAAGCTCCTAACATTTTAAGTTTCTTTCTGCCTGAACCCCAGCCTCTCAGCCAAGGATTAAAGATTTACTAAACATAAACAATAAACAGCAACCACAAACCTGTCTAAAAGAAACTGTGGGGAAAATATTTCCCAAATAAAACAAGTCTCACTTTTGTGAGACTCTCTTCTTAGGCCCCAGGCCAGCCCTGTGGAGGAGGCCCTTGTCCCTGAGCACCCTGGCCTGACAGAGAAATCACCGGGCCAGCTGCATCAGCAATGCAAGTATTGTCTTTTTATGGTCGCTAATTTTAAACCAAAAAGTTCATCTGGTGTTTCTTTAGTGTCTACCTGCTAAACTAATCAAACAACAATCCCATGTAAGAATTTTAAATGGCTTTATTAGTGAAAACAAAGAATACTTGTGCAAAAAGGAAAATACCAACCGCAGTGTCTGTGTTTCTGCACCAGGTAGTCCTCATGACATTTTCTATTTTATTTCCAGCAACAGAATCATTAGGACAAATGAGAGCTGCTCTGACTAGAAAGGAGTGAAGGGCCCAAGCCCACCTAACATCAGCCGCCTTCTTGTCATACCCATCCCAGCCCCCTACACTGAATATCTCATAACCCTCAGGCAGTGGCCTCAGAGAATCCTGGCTTGAAATCCAGGCTCCATCTCTGTTGTAACCTGTGTAGTTTTGGTCAAATAACATTGCCTCTCTGGAGATAATTACGACAATGCATGTCAAGTGCTCCATCAAGGTAACTTTTACTGTACTATCAGAGCCATGCACTTGATTTAGGCCTCAATTCATTCTGCCACCAGCACCCCCAATTAGGCTGGAGGCACCTGGGCTGCACAGATGAATTGGAACCTGACCCTGAACTGACCTCCAGGTACCCACAGTCCAGCCGAAGAAACTAGGCAGGCAAGGAAGAGTGACAAGAGAAAGGGACCAGGCTGGTGGAACGAAAGCAGAAGTAGAGGTAGAAAAGGAAGAACATACTGCCAGCAAGAAAGCTCTTAAAGTTTTTGTGAAAGATGTCTATCTTGCCTTGGACCTGTGGGTAAGACTGGCTCACCCTCCTCCTCCTCCTCTCTATGTGGGCTCATTGAGTACACGGCACAATACCTGGGGAGTAGGTGCTGTTTTAGGCCCAGATCAGGATTCAGAAGAACCAGGAACCTGTTCAGGTCCCCCCAGGGTATGGGTGGGAATGGGGTAGGAGCACATGACAGGAAAGTGCCATCAGTAAGCAGAGGCCAGCCTTGCTTGGGCATGGAAGTAGTGACAGGGACTGCTAGGAGGCAGGCTAATATTAGAA